ATTCAGCACATTATCGCAAAAGTGGAATTTTCTCAAAATATTTAAGTATCAAAAAGTTATAATAGTTTAAATTTACTGTAAAGAAAGTGCACTATATTAATTTTATTTTATATATAATACATATCAGGTTTTACTCTAAAATTGGTATAAAATTATAGCCTTATGGCTAAATAAGTTATGTTCCAAATCTGAAGTTGATATGAAAAAAATTGAGGTTCCTGTGAGATTTTATTTAGGGTGTTATATATCACAAACATCCAAACTCCACTGAATTTGTTTTTATGCATTTTTCTGTCACAAATGTCTAGATTTCTCTGTCAATATTGCTTCTATCTCAAAATAACCACCAAATCCTGAGACTCACACCTTTCCAATGATATGTTTTTTGTCAAGATTATAAAAAGTTTTGATTTTAAAAGACCGTAATTCATTTTGTAATCTGACACTTGACACTGCCCACTAAGGGGGAGGAGACCGCCAAACGATTTAATAGTACCATTTCCATGGTAACGCAATGTCTGATTTCGATGGTTTTCACAGGATGAATCTTGGGCTTCTAAGCTTTCAAATGATATATGATTTATGATGATTGATAAAAGATTTGATAGAGAAAAAAGACAACAAAAAAAGAGCGCCAAACGTCCCACAGGTGGGACGGTGACAGTTAAGGGGTTAAATGATTTCAGTAAGCATAAAAAAAGTCGTAATGTGGAAAAAACAAAACTGATCTCTGGTCGATCTGCATGGTCATAGTTCAGTGTGCTGATTCTTTATGATGAAGCGTGATACAAAGTCCCATTATTTTGCATCATGTGTCAACCACTGCACACCTTAGAATCGCATTTGCTAGTTTTATCCATTATTACAAACAATCTACAACAGTCAGTACACACACTTGACACTCGCTGAGTCGCTGGCATCATTAGATGAGGACGACTGGGAACATTATTAAGAGCTTTATGAAAGTTTTCAGCCCTTCCATAAAACTTGTGTTCCGGGCCCTGTAAATTTCAGCGACGGCCTTGCGTTTGAGAATGCAAAGCGGTAAATTATTTACACCAATAACTGCATTAGATATATTTTGCTGACATGCGTTTAATACACGGTTTAATCTTTCATTGAAGAACAACCTGAATTAGTTGAACTGCAAAACGGGCATGTGCTTATGTAACAGCTTTCATTGCCTGCTCACTGCCTGATGCTGATTAAATGATTTAACAAATTGAATTTTAAAGTACAAACATTCCACACAAACAGCATTTAAAAGATTGTTTCCACAAGTCTGCAATGAACGTTAAAGAACTTACAGTGGTCAGTAAAAGGCATTGTTTGCCGACGCAATAAGCTGAATATGTACAGGAATCACTTTATTTGAAGCCATATACAGATGTTAAAGCTAACAAACTATAGCTTAATCTAATTTATCTTTCCATTATTTTAATAAAAAAAGACCATCTGCACCCTCTAGTGGTGGAGCAGCTACGCAAAGCTTAACAAAACAACTAAGAAACCTCGGATGGTATAAATGTAGCCGTCCTTCAAACACTAAAATTATATGAAATATAATTTGTTAGTGAAAAACACAACTCACTGCACACCACTACGGTCTTCAACTTTCCCCCCCCATTTCAATTCCTACATGGGTTCAGTCAGGCTTGCATCAAGACCAGGGGCCAGTTGCATAAAAGGTTTAGACTGGTCTTAATTAGTCATCTAATTTTTTCTTTTAAGACTAGTCATATTTATTTATTTTTTAATTCAGTTACATAAAAAAAAGTTAATTCCAAAAATAAGACTGATTACTTATTGGCTAACTGCTAATTGGTCAAACTCCTACTTAAGACATTTTCTTAACATAAAGGCTAAGCTTATGCATCTGGCCCCAGTGCCTTAAAATCTTTGTCTTAATTGGTACAATATTAAACGGCAAAAGAAAAAGAATCTGCCAAGCAAGTCAACAGTTTCATCCATAAAAAAAAAGTTAATGCCTGATGAAGTACAGTATTTACATTGCAACAATGAAAATATTACTAATGTACAATTTAGTGTTCGCTACATTTACATAATCTCTCACAAACTCAGACCGACGTGAAATATGTACACATCAGAGTACAATTACATCACGGATCTCTTTAAGCTATTAAAATAATTTGCGAATAATAAAAATCTGCTATTTACAAATTCAACAAACCTTTGGCTGACACATGCCATTTTAAATATTTTCTTAAAACGTTTTAACTTCTGGACTGCTGTGGTCTTCCGTTCTCATGCACAGGAGCGACTGGCTTTTGTGTCCAGCAGGCTTTATTTTCCTCTGTTAACCGGGTCTCCGATAAGCTCTGGACACTTCTCCTCCCCTCTTGCGATTCGGTCGCACTTGTGCAGCAGGTCGTAGTTTATTTTGTCCGTAATGACGCTGTCCTGCTTGTACTGAGGATGTTTGGAGACAAACTCCCTCATCCACTTAGCCATCGTCATCAGCTCACCTGAGAACAACACGGTAGTGAAAACAACCATTACAAGAAATATCAATAACACAATCCAAATAATGAGTGAACCAGTTTGCCTGCAGTGTGTCATTGCCAATAGAGGGGGAAAATACACATTTAGAGCACAACTGCATTTCATGACAAAATAGATTTGCATATGCATATATTTACGAAACGAAACGAAAACGGTAGTTTAAAAACTGAAATAAAATGATCAGCAAAAAAATAAAAAAATTAAGTTAATCAATTGTATTGATTTTAGAAAATAGAATGTTTTAAAGAACAGAAACACAGCACTGCCACTGTAAACAACCTAAACCTCTCTCCAGGGTTGGGGAGTAACCGAATACATGTAACGGCGTTACGTAATCAGGATACAAAAATCTAGTAACTGTGATCCGTTACAGTTACATCAAAAACTAAGTATTCAGATTACAGTTACATTTTGTAAAAAGTGGCAATACTATCAGGATTACATTCGTTTCATTTAAAATGAAATAAATAACTGTATACATTTAGCGCTGCATAGTTCCTGGTTCTGTTGAGTGAGCCGCTTGCTGGTGCGTGCGCAAATAACACAATTACAATCTACAATTATTCGCCTCAAATGCGGGATGACTGAGACGCTGCTACAGTAAATTAATTACGATACTTCCTGCTGTGAAAACGTTTTCATATCTGGAAATGTCACAGTTATTTTGTTTTCAACGAGGATAAAGGAAATAACATAGTTGTACAGCGTAAGCTATGCATGAAGACTCTTGCTTTAACAAAGGCTACTCAACCAACTTGGACATTTGCAGGTACGACTAGCATGGAAATCATCATGTTAGCTAAAATGTAGTGTTTGTTAGTGATTTAAAATTCCATGGTGTGCATGACTGCAGTTGTGTGTAAGTGTTCTAGCGGAAAATGAGCTGGAAAATGTAGAAATTAACACGAGAGTCCCCACATCACAGCACAGTCAATGAAAGAAAAGAACACAGAAAGATCATAGCATTTCGACATGTAGACTAATATGCAGTGTTGGGGAAAGTTACTTTTAAAAGTAATGCATTACAATATTGCATTACTCCATAAAAAAAGTAACTAATTACGTTACTTGGTTACTTTTTATGGAAAGTAATGCGTTACGCTACTTTTGCGCTACTTTTTCAATCTGGACAGGGCTTGCTTGTTTGTTTTTAAAATAAAAAAGTTCTATTTTTGGCAAATATAAAAGCCTTTTCACACCAAAAGTTAAATGAATAAGCCTCAGGCTGAAGGGAAAGTACATTTACGTCCGTACA